GTAGTGGTTACGAATCGGGCTGCGAACCGCAAGCTCAGCAGTTCGAAACTACCAGCTGCTCCACGGGAGAAAGATGAGGCTTTCTGCTCCCGTAAAGATTTCGGCCTCAGAAACCCTGTACAGGGTTGCTATGAGTCGGAACTGGAACTAACTCCACGGCACGTAACCACCACCACCATATTCAAAGGATTACTGGTATATTGATTGATTGAAAAGATAACATTTTCAGTGGTGTTGATCAGTAAGTAAGGTCCTTGAATGGAGCAATTGGTTTGGGCTAGACCACTGACCAAGAGGTTGGTGGTTCAAAGCCACTCAGTGGCATCTTAGAGAAAAAGGCCCAGTGATTTGCTTCCATAAAGATCATAGCCATGAAAACAAAACTCTGTAACACATGGGATCACCATGAGTCAGCACTGATAGCAGTAGCTTTGGTTTTGGTATGCTCACTAGGTTTAAATTATGAAAAATAACAGAACATGTCCAGAAAAGATACAGCTATTTTCCCAAAGAGTAGTCACGAATTCTAAGTCTTTAGGATGAACTTCAGCACAGCGAGATGTTTATTTACCTCTTGAATATTTCTGGAGTTCCTTCATGGTTACCATCACTTTGGCCCAGCCATGTCTTGTTGGGACTCCTTTACGAGTGTGTCTCGAACCAGTGCTGAACTTCTCCCATCCAGTCTCCAGCTGTGGACATTGCCTAAGCTGCTCTCATCAGGATTCTTCTAAGGGGAAATTTGGAAATAAGAAAAGATGGACTCTGGAGAAGTTATGTAAACTCAAGTGCTATGGCAACCATACACTTTGAGAAGGTAAGAAACAGAGAGAGAGAAGAATAGAGCTGAGGTACAAGGATGGTGGCCCCAGAGAAAGGAGAGAGATCACCATCACTTTCCAATGTCTGCTTCCATTTCCTCCTGAGGCCCCTCTATACTATAGTGTATCTTGAAATAAATTTCCCTTTTTTTCTCTGAATTAAAACTAACTGCAATAGCTCTGTTTCCTATACACTGTTAATAAGAAGCCCTAGTCGTACAATGGTTAAGCACTCAACCACTAAGCAAAAGGTCACAGGTTCAAACACACAAGCTACTGCATGAGAGAAAGATGGGATAGTCTGATTCCATAAAGTCTTGGAAACCCTGTGGTACAGTTTTACGCTGGCCTGTAGGCAGAGGCATGTCTATAGTCATGGCAAGAATTGTTGACACCCCTTGGGGGTGGGGACACCATTGAGCAGTTTCTATTAACTATAACTATATCACCAGCTTGTATGAGTATTCCTTCAGCAAGTTAAACTAATAATTTCAAAAGAGTGATAAAAATTTAAAGATGGTTAGAATCAACTAGTCCAGTGACCGGTAGACCATGTGAGCATCAGGCACTATAAAACTCAGCGTCTAAAAGAACTAGGTGGTGCCAAGCTACCAGTATCAACTACTCTGAAAGGATCATATTAGAAGGTTCTAGGTTGAGTGGGAGAAAATGTGAAACAGAACTCAATATTGAAGAAAAAAAACCCCACCAGGCTTACTGATCAGAACGAGACGAGAGGAACCTGAGACTATGGTTCTCCTCCACCTTTCAGGTCTGGAATGGAACTTAACTTCGTGGCCCCATTTTTAGTCAAGTGGCAAATAGATTTATAGCAGGGACAACAATATTAGTAAGGTCTGCTCACCATGGAATGGTCAAACATTCAGGATCAAAAGGGCAACATTTACCTAAGGACAAAGTTGAGAAGGGATGGGAAGGTGGGTGGGAACACTGTTGTTACATGTTGTTGTTGTTGTTATGTGCCGTGGAGTCACTTCCGACTCATAGCTACCCTGTACAGGGTTTCCAAGGCTGTAAATCTTTATGGGAGTAGAAAGCCTCATCTTTCTTCTGCGGAACAGCTGGTAGTTTCGATGCTGAGCTTGCGGTTCGCAGCCCGATTCATAGCCACTACACTACCGGAGCTCCTTACATAGATGGAATTAAAAGCATTGAGATGAAACAAAGTGAATGATTTGCTGAATGTAAAGCTGATGATCTTTTCTGTAAACCTTCACTCAATTCACAATAAAAAAGTTTTTTAAAAATCGCACACAAAAAACATACTTGAGTATTTGAGAACTTCCATGGGTTAAGGCAGAAGGTTTGATCTTGCTCAGTTGAGTGTAGACAGAGAAGACAATGATAAAAGCATGACCTGGGGCACATTATAGTCCTATCAGTATTCATCCATGAAAGCAAGGAAGATGCAGCTATAATTTTCATGTAGTTCCATAATGTGTTAAGTAAAAGATTAACGAGTTTAGTATTAGCCTATATTTTGGCATAGGCACTTCTTTCCATAGATTACCTATAAGGTCACTGTGAGTTGGAATCGCCTCTACAGCAACAAGTTTTGTTTTTTTGTTTATTTGTTTGTTTAAACTATGAGTATAGATTAAGGTACATGAGGGTTTTTTTTCACTCTGTCAACCAACAGTCTTGTTTTATATCTTAAATAGAAGAAAGGCTGAGAAGCATTCCGATTGCTCCATTTGGAGTATGCTAGCTGGACAATATAATTATTTGTTCATGTTATTTATTGTTGGCGGAGAGCCAGATGTTTTGCTTTGTTCTCATTTAATCATCACAGCCTTGTGATGAATATTCTGAGAGGTTACATCAGTGTCCCAGGAACATGGAGATGGAATGCAGAGCCAGGACTGGGAGTCTGGATCTGCCTGGCCCCAAAGTACATGCTCTCAGAGCTCCTCACTGGACAGTGTTGGGGAAGGCAATGGGGTTCCAGCCTGCATTGGCCCCAAGCAATATCAGACAGGGCCTGGCATAAGGTGCTAATTCAGAAGGGCTCTGTGGACAACTGCTCTGGACAATGAGACGGGTAAGCAAGTATGAAGGGAGTCTGAGAAGAGGGTTGTTGTTGTTGTTAAGTGCCATAGAGTCAATTCCAACCCATAGCGACCCTCTCTCTATAGGGTTTCCAAGGAGCAGCTGAGGAGCTTGAACCACCGATCTTACAGTTCAAATGACTTTGCAGTCTGACACATTAGTCCACAGCACCACACCAGAACTCCTAGAGGAGGGTTAGTTGAGCTCAAATCAGAGGAGAGTTGTTGTTGTTGTTAAGTGCCATCGCGTCAATTCCGACAATTTCCAAAGAGCAGCTGGTGAACTTGAACCACGGATCTTGCAGTTCAAACGACTTTGCAGTCTGACGCATTAGCCCACAGCGCCACACCAGGACTCCAGAGGAGGGTTAGTTGAGCTCAAATCAGACTCCGGATTTGTCAAGCAGTGTGGTGATTCATTCCATACTGATAACTAGTTCCTAATGTTCTGTAGCTATCTTGGGTGCTGTGAGAATGACAAAGAGATGCAGAAATAAAACCTTCCTACTTTCTTGGCCTTGGGAGGTCAAGGCCATTCATCAAGACAAAGACTGGTCAGATATTGTTATACCTGAAGAGGTATATAGTACCAGGAACTCCCCTGACAAGGAAATGACATGCCAGTCTTAGATTGGCTAATAGCTTAGCTTCTAATCTCTAACTAATGTACAATCTAGGCTTTTGTTTTTTTCGCAAGACAGTGTCGGTAATGTGTGGGCTGCCTTTGAAAATTCAGAGCCATTCCCTCCCATCCCAGGCCATGGCTTCCTGCCAGGTGCCTCCAGGGAAAACTTGTAGGGGCCCTGCCTTCTGAAAGCCAGCAAGCCTATGATGAGATGTCTGTTTATGGTTGCCTTTGGGACTTGATCAGGAGGATGATATGCACATGACTGTGAATGGTTGCTTTCCTTCCTTAGGAAAATAAAGATGGCTTTCACCGTGTCTTAAGGACTTGTCACCACAAAGTCTAAATTCCCTCTCATCTGACATTTATGACTTTGTGTCTTAAGATCAAAGTCACCAGATCTTTCACAACTCTTCTCCCCAGCATTCACAAAACATGTGTTTGTATCCAAGGTTCCCTAAACACAAGGGAGTTAGACCATTCTGTGAAGTGTAACAAATAGGATGGACCAGGGCCTCAGTCTCCTGTCCACTCCATATTGTTGAATGAATGCCTTGTTTGGCAAGAACTGGTAGTGATGTGACAAGATCCATGAAAATAATTTTCCATGATGTCATCTGGCCTTATGGGACTTTTTTTTTTTTTGCCCTCGCCTGCATAATAGCATAATTTCTGTCTTGACAAAAAACAAAACAAAAAAATCTTTTTTTCCTTCCACTCTCTTTGCATGCTTGCTCATTAAGCTCACCTTTTGTACACGTTGCTGGATGTGAACTTGTCTATTTCCTTTTCTCTGGCAGTTAGCTGCTTGGTGTTTTCCCAGGTTGTTACGTCTGAATAAGGCTCAGTGAGTGTGGAAATGTGTCTTAAGAGTTGTAAAGAGGAGCACTCTAGAACATGGAAACATCTTCATTTTAATGATGGTTTTTAATTACACGTTTTGTATCACAGATTCAGTGACGCTCTCTGACAGATGTCAGCTGCTACCTGTCCTTACAAATGACTCCAAACCTGGAGGCCTGTTGCTGTAGGTGGGGGCCGAGGTACCCAGAAGTTCGCTGAGTGCCAACAACTGGTTTTAACACCAGTGCCGAGGCAGGCGCTGACATATCCCTTTGGCTAGGGAAGCACATTACATACTGGAGACTAACAGAAAATGGTAAAGTCAGCTCTTGGGAGAGTCTGCGGAGAAAGCCTTACCCTCCGGCTTTGCCAGCATGGTTTGCCGAATTCTCCTTTTCTAGGAAAGTTTGCTGGCTTTATTCTTCCTTTGTAGAAAGAAGGAAAGCCCCAAGACATGAATGATTTCCTTGACTCTGACTTTCTGGGTGAATTTCTCTTCATGCAGTTAGAAGCTCACGTCCCATTGAGTTTCATGGTGGGTGGGCACAGCCAGAAAGTTGCATCCTGCTAGTTTCCAGCAAGTGGGAAGAGACAAACGGTTGAAACAATGGCCACGTTACCAGTGTGTTTTCCCTCCTGCAGGTTCACCAGTACTACAGCTGCCTCCCTGAAGAGAAGGTTCCTTATGTCAACAGTCCGGGAGAGAAACTGAGGATCAAGCAACTACTACACCAACTGCCCCCACATGATAATGAGGTAAGAAACTCCAGGGGACTTACAGAGACTTGTCCTAGAAATTTCTGTGAATTGTCACCTTTCCTGTAATCAGAATGCTACGATTGGTCACTTTTCCCAAAACAAGCTTTGGCAGTTTATTTGGGGTTTTAGCTTCCTTAATTGGACTCAAAAGCAACTGTCCAGCAGCTTCTGGAGCGTGTTACCTAAAAGCAGAGTCTCATGATGGACTGAGTTAGTCCCCGTGCCTGGCTCTCCTCATGATTTAGAAGTAGCCGGGAATACTAACATTTAAACGCTAAAGTCAAGCTTTCCTTAGTTGAAGAGTCTTGTGCCATTTTGGTTGCCTAGGTGTCTTGAAATGCTCTCAGCCATTTCTTGCCAACAAAAGCCTTGTGACTCTTGAACACTCAGCATCTCTTCACGTTAAAGGAGAGGGCAGGCTTTCCACATGACACCACAGTGGAAATGAGCTGGCCAGACATGCAGCATTGAGCATCAGGGTTTTTGTGGCCATGCAGTGTAGCTTGCCAGGGTCATGGTTTGTTCTCTTGAAAGTATGACTCACGGACAGTCCTTTTTCCTGAACCCAGATACAGAGTCCTGTAAGCAGCCATGTCTTATCTTTGAAATCAAATTGATCATGAAAGTATACCTTTAAAAAAGATGATTAGACTGCTGGGGATTAGATACATAATAAGAAATTTTTAAGTGTCTGGTTTGAAGAATCCTGTAGATTTGTGGGTTTGATTTTATGGTTTTAAATTTATATAAAAAGGAGCTTGGGTGATGCAAGTTGTTTGTGATTGGATTTTAACCTAAAAGTTGACCCACCCAGTAGCACCATGAAGAAAGACCTGGTGATCTGTTTCCATAAAGAATGTTGTTGTTGTTAAGTGCCGTGGAGTCGATTTTGACTCGTAGTGACCCTGTACAGGGTTTCCAAGGCTGTAAATCTTTACGGGAACAGAAAGCCTCATCTTTCTCCCACAGAACAGCTGGTGGTTTCGAACTGCTGACCTTGTGGTTCGCAGCCCAATTCGTAACCACTACGCTACCAGAGCCCTGTGGAGCAGTTCTACTCTGTAACACATGGAGTCGCTGTGAGTCAGAATTGACTCGATGGCAATGGATTTGATTTCTTTAAATAAAAGATTAAGTCCAAGAAAAGCTTGGGAAACAGAAGGCACTCCTTAGAAAGAAAGATATTCACAATTCCCTTCCCTGCTGTGTCTTTCAGTCTGCATCAAACAAATATAAATAAATGCTTTTCCCTTTAAAGCTGAGAGCAAGCATTGTAACCTGATGCCCAGTTAACTAATTTGGAAGCTAAAATGCGGGTTTTTACAAGCTTGAGGGGTGTGCCTCTCTTTACAAGCATGTCCATAAAATGTCAGCCGTGTAACTGTATATTCTGGGGCTGTTCAGGTCACTGCAGTCCCCTCTCTGGGACAGCCACAGAAAGTGCTTGTTGTTTTAACTTTTTTTTCCTTGACAGAGAGACTTTATCTATGCTTGCTTGTAGTGGTTTGTTCTGTTTATGGTTAACTGTGGTAGTATGAGAAGAGACATTATTCAAATTACTTCTTCCTGCTGTTGGGAATTCCACGCATGTGACCAGTGGGCCATTTTAGCCTTTTGGAGGACAAAGGGTGATCCAAAGTAAATATTTGATCATTCTGTTTTTTCCCCCCACTTCAGACAATTTTGATATACACAACTGCAGTTTAGTAGGATGTTTTAAATGCACTGGTTTTCAAACTGGGATACAGTCCCATTCAAAGGTAAATTCAAAGACAGTCTTCATTCAAAAGCAAATCAAAAGGCACATCATCTCAGGCATTCAGTTATGCTTTCTGATTTCTCAGATCATTCCAAAAAAAGCAGAAGATGGGATTAAAACAGTTTCCCCAAGCGTGGAATATTACATGGCTTCAGGTGGAACATGCACATGGCAGTAAATAAAACTGAATCACATGAGAAAGTTGCATGCTTTTAAGTTTTGTTTCATTCTTTGCAGTTTGAGTGGTTGAATAATGGACGAGTAAATTTCAATTTGACGCTAACATGTATCTCAGAACTCTAACTCTTACTGTCTCCACTTTTACATTAAGTGCATTAAGGATCTTCTGTATGCGAAATAGCTAGTTGGAATATAGCACTGCAGTTTTCTTCTCACTCTATTTCTTTTTATAGTTAACCTTCTACTTACTGCAGGTGATACTGTTTTGCCTTATATAGCTATATTTTGCTTTTAAAATAAATGTACTCAAGTTAAAAAAAGAAAATCAGTCTATTTTAAAACAATATTGAGTAAATAATAGTTCAAGGTTCTGGCAAAATTCCAAGGTGTGCATAAGGAAAGGGAGAGAATGGAAAATTCTGGATTTGAATGACTTTAATATCCCTGCCTAGTCTTGTGAGTTTCTATGTCTAACAAGGAGAGAATTTATGCAAACTGATGTACTTCACCAGAGCCTAGCAGACAGCTCTTCCCTTCTTACAAACAGATAAATGCAGGGTTATTCATGAAGCATCACAGATACTTCTGACCCAACTCCTAAATCCCAAACCTTTGTTCCTCCATTTTCCCAAAATGAGATGAGAGAGCAGAAGTCATGAGCAGACTGGAAGCATTCTGGCTCACTCGCTAGGAGCATCCTTGGGTGTCAAGCATCATTTCCAGGGCTGTAAGATAAGCACTGGACTGCTAATCACAAGATTCATAGTTCACACTCACCAACCGGTTCTTAGAAACCCTATACAGGGTGTCTGTGAGTCAGGATCGGCTCACTGGCATTTAACAGCATCAATAGTGGCTTCAAAGAGTCAGTCCCCCACAATCCAGTTGAAAGAATGAGAAACCTTCGATGTTCATTAACTCCAAAGCCATTCAGAGATGATTTGGATTTCAGCTGGGTGACTGAATATCTGTGTGATGAGCATAATGAGATATTTAAGATAAAGAGACTTTACAAAACCTTTATTGTCTCCAAGATTAGGACATTTCAGGCTGGTAAGTTCTGTTGAGTCACCATTCTTGGTGAAGACTCACCCTAAATAGTACCAAGTCTGGTGATTTTGAAGTTCAAGCAAAGGTGTTAAGACCAAATGGAATGTGTTTCATATGAAGATTCCGTGGCCAAGCTTCAGGAACCTGAAGATGCAGGAGTTGACCTCCTTCCTGCCATTCTTGTGTTGCTCAGGTTCGATATTGCAACTCTCTGGATGAAGAAGAGAAGAGGGAGCTGAAATTGTTCAGTAACCAAAGGAAACGGGAGAACTTGGGCCGAGGCAATGTGAGGCCCTTCCCAGTCACCATGACAGGAGCTATTTGTGAACAGGTGAGTGTGGACTTGGGGGAGTTAAGAGGGATTGTTCTGGCATGCCTCCACCTAGTCATTGATGCAATACAAATTTTGTTGACTGCCAGGCATGATGCTAGGCCTGTTGTTCACAGTAGTAAACAAAAGACAATAAATACCTTATCTTGCCCTTGTAAAGAGTTGTGTTCTAGGAAAAGAAAATAGACAATAAACAAATAAATAAAATAGAAAAGACATATCAGGGAAGAAGGTAGGAAGTGTTAGGAGAGCGGAGGCTGCAATTTTAAATAAAGCGGCAATGTATGTGAGAACTGAGGTGATGAGTCCTGCAGACTTGGACCGAGGGAGACAGACAACTCAAAGGTCATAAGGCAGGAATGTGGTGTACACTGTATTCAGTAAGGAGGCAGAGGGCAGATGTAAAGGGGAGAAAATTAGATCAGATCAGAAATCAAGGAGGTCCTGAAAAGGGAGAGCTATGAGGAGCCATGGAGTCTTGGTGTGGCTCTTGGGATAATGTACTGGACCGCAAGGTCAGCAGTTCAAATTCACCAGCCGCTTCTTGGAAACCCTATTCAGGGTCGCTATGATTCAGATCTGACTCTATGGCACTTAACTATAGCAAAACCAATGAAGAGCCATGGGTGGAATTTGAGCAGAGACATGGCATGGGAGAATCAGTTAAATGCGTTCTTTAGAAAATGAAGTTTGCCTAAATCATGGGTCAGTCTCTTTCCCAGAATCCTCACAGGACCAAAGCTTTTTTAAGTGGTGGCAAATGAGCTCCTTCTTGAGTTTGAGGGTTCTTTAGCAAAATACATGGAAGATCCCTGCCTTCACCCTAGGACCTCACTGAGCTCAAGAGTCTGAAGAGATTTGTTTTCCTACTCACCAGTAGAGAACTCAGGGTATAGTAGACAAGGGTTTTAAAGAAGCTAAGTGGGAACACAGCTTGCCTAGGTTCACCCTACCCCACATCTCAGCTGCCAAAAGCCCTCCAGCAACAGTAGTCATTTCTGGAACCTCTCTGTGCTCCACTGCTTTCTCATCAGTTTCAACTACCTCCTTGAGTTCTTGATGGACCCATTCAGGTACTGAAAATAAATCAGCTACCTCTGAAAGAAGGCACAGGAAGAAGGGCTGAGTGGAATAGGTGCTGCCTTGGGGTCCTTGTTTAAGCTTTCATTGGGGCAAGGTAAGCAGGCCAGGTGGATAGAATAGAGAAGCTACTTGACAAGGGGAGGTAAAGGACCAGAGATTGGGCAATGGGGTCTCATCCTCACCTTGAGACCACTCTTGAGATGCAGGCGGCTACAGCATGACTTTCTCTCAGGACCTTCAGCCACCATCAGATGGGTCTCCTGCAGTCTGCGAAACTGGGCTCACCTACACCAGAAAAAAGGTTCGGTATTTCATGGGCGGATGTTGAAAGCAGTATAGGGACAAGCCAAGCACACGGAGGCGGAAAGATGTGCACTTGACTCACATTTCTACCGCCTGACCTTGACCCTATCACTTTCCCTCAGTTTTGTCATTTTCAAAATGGAATAACGAGTGCCTACCCCCAAAGAATTAGGGTGAGGATTAAGTGGGATTATGTAGCTATAACCCAGCTCTACAAATGTTAGCATGGAAGGGTAAAGTGGTATTTTCAGTAATACAATGCCTTTCTTTTTACCAGTTACACACACGTATGAATTTCCAGATAATTGATGAGACCTTTACTTCATTTTCTACAAAACCTTTCTACTTACAAGAACTCTGATAGGAGAAAGGTTAAGCGGTGGCTTTTCAACTCCTTGGAGATTGTCCCCAGAGCTCACCCACTCCCTCCCATGGAGCTATTGAGCTAGGTTCTCAGGGCATGAACCTCATGGAGAGGTTGCCCCAACTCAAAGTACCCACAGGGTTGCCCCAACCCTGTACCCACAGATTCCGATTTTTTGTCAAAGACTCTCTGCCATCCCCTAACTGCAAGCATAGGTCATTGTACCTTATTCGTTTTTGGATAGGGGCTAGGATTGGGAAAGAAGTGAGTAAGTGGGGAAGGCATAGCAAGATGCCTTTTTTATGTCTGATCTTAGAAATGGTGGCTTTTCAATCAAGACCCAGTAAAAAAGATATTAAAGGAAGCAGACTGAAGACATGAGACATGCCTGCAGGGCAGGAATTGGAGCTTTGGTAGTGCAACAGTTAAGCACTCAGCTGCTGACTAAAGAGTTGATGGTTTGAACCCACCCAATGGCTCTGTGGGGAGAATGACCTGAAGATCTGTTCTCATAAAGGTTAGAGCCCAGAAAACCATACAGGGCAGTTCTACTCTGTCACATGGAGTCACTTTGAGTCAGTCACCTACCACCATCAAAGAGAGGAGAGAAAGTAAAGGATGAGACGAGGCGTTTCTATATACTGCTTCCCCTGCCATCCATCAGTACAGCCCTCACCTGCTCCCGTGATTCCCCTCCAAGCCCTCCTCTCCTGTCTGGGCTTCCCCTAGCTAATGCCCTCTGGTGTTACACTTGGCTATGCTCTGGAAGACGTTTGTTGCCATCAAGTTGGTTCCGACTCACAGCCACCTGCATAGGATTTCCAGGGAGTGGCTGGTGTGCTTGAACCACCGACCTTGCAATTCACACTGACTTTATGGTTCACACTGACTTTGCAGTCCAGCACATTAACCCACAGTGCTACACCAGGACTTCTGGTGTATCTTTACTCCTGTTTGTTGTTGTTGTTAAGTGCCGTCGAGTCGGTTCCGACCCATAGCGACCCTGTACAGGGTTTCTGAGAGTGTAAATCCTTACGGGAGTAGAAAGCCTCATCTTTCTCCCGCGGAGCAGCTGGTAGTTTCAAACCGCTGACCTTAAGGTTCACAGCCCGACTCGTAACCACTACGCTACCAGAGCTCCTTTTTAGAGTATCTTAAAGCTAGTAGGACCCTCACTTTGTTCAGAGCTCTCCTAGCGTGTTATTATGCAAATGAAGTTTTTGTTTCCTTCTCACCTCTGTGATTCATTCTTCTCAGGTATTTTATCTTCATCTTTAGTCATAGGCTCTAGGAAAGGAGTGTGAGGGGGGAGGGCCAGAAAAACCTGCCTCACCAGGTATACAAAGCAGGTTAGTAGTTGGTCCTGTGATGCATTTGAAAATAAGTTCCCACTACCCAGTGATTGTGGTGGCTGTCTCGTTACTAGTTACACAGAGCCAAGGAGAAGATAGTGGAAATGAGGGGAAGTGGTGTTGGTACTGATGTTTCTCTTTGCCTCACAGTGCGGAGGCCAGATTAATGGTGGGGACATCGCTGTGTTTGCGTCACGTGCTGGACATGGTGTTTGCTGGCACCCACCATGCTTCATCTGCACTGTCTGCAACGAACTCCTGGTGGACTTGATCTACTTTTACCAAGAAGGGAAGATATACTGTGGCCGACACCACGCCGAGTGCCTGAAGCCGCGCTGTGCTGCCTGCGACGAGGTCAGAGCAAACCCCATCGGGTTTCCATTCCTATCTGTCTACACATTGCCAACACTTTGTTCTGGGGTTTATTGCACAGAAGAAATCTTAAGCAACTCCCTTCTTATTTTAACCCTTTCAAGAGAGAAGGTCTAGCAAGTCCTACCCATCCTTGGTTGCTACAGTATCTGGGATTGTAGACCACTTTACCCAAACACAGAAGTCTCAAGAGCCTCCAGAATGGGAAGGCTGTTTATATAGTTCAAAGTCCTGATGTGGCATTTTAGGATAAGCTGACCTCGAGGTTGGTAGTTCAAAGCCACCAGCAGCTCCTTGGAAACCCTATACAGGGCCACTGTCAGTCAGAAGCAACTTGACAATAAAACAATACTAATATTTCTGTAGTTCAGGAGATCCCCAAGTGGTGCCCTTAAAAGTAGATCAGTTCTGAACTCTTATGGGGGGAATAAAAGGTATTGTGAAGCTTCAGCTTTTCAGCCCTAATCCCAGGGAACACTTGTCAGTCATGAAGTACCACTTACATCTGCAGTCATTCAATTTCCCAAAATTTAATGGGACAGATTGGTTAGAGAAGAGAAGAAAATTGGTAGCATTATTTCAATTTCACACCGTTTTTGTTTTGTTTTTAAATGTGGAGTGAGGATACAGAAGGCAGATCCATTTGGATATCTCTGTTGGAATGCTTGCCTTCCATGTAGGATACCCAGGTTCAATTCCCAGCCAGTGCACCTAATGCACAATCACTACCTGTCACCGGAGGCCTATGGGTTGTTTTGACACTTGAACAAGTTTCAGCAGAGCTTCCATGCTGAAATAGACTAAGAAAAAAGATTCTGGTGATAAACTTCTGAAAATCACCCAGTGAAACTTTATGAATTACAGTGGTCTGATCCTTTTGTGCATGAGGTCGCCAGGAGTAGGGGGCAACTCAGGAGCACCTAACAACAGAAACCCTGGTATGGCTGCAAACTAGACCACCAATTCATGCCGAATGGTGTTCTCTCCTGAGAAATACACCCAAGTATGAATTGTAAACTGACCAAACAGAAAACCTGGATTAGATTTAAAAGTTTGGAGCTGATGGTTATGTGCTGTGGAGTCGGTTTCACCTCATAGCTACCCTATATAGGGTTTCCAAGGCTGTAAATCTTCACAGGAGCAGAAAGCCTCATTTTTCTCCCTTGGAACAGCTGGTAGTTTCAAACTGCTGACCTTGAGGTTCGCAGCCTAACTCGTAACCATTACATTATGGAGCAGAAGGAGAATATTCTACACCTGATTTATGGGAATAACTTCGATAGAGACTGTAGACAGAGATTTTCCTCATGGCCAAGGGGGATCTTTGGGTCTAACAGTGGGTTTGTAGAAATAGTATTATGGAAAGTATCTCTTAGTTTTTAATCACAGAGAGTCCACTATTAGGCATGGCTTTCTTACAGTCTACCTTTGCTCTTTAGAAGTTGATCAGACTGAACTAATTTTTTTCTAATACTAATTAATAGTGATTCTGGAGAAGCCCCTTGGGGGAGGTAGTTGAGAAACTGAGTTCATATTCAGCTCTGTGATTCTAGGCAGCCACTTTACCTTCAGATCCAGTTTCCGCATCAAGATATGGGGGCTCACAATATGACTTTGTTATCTCATGGTAGTAGAATATGATGGTGTAAGTAACTTTGCTTTGAAACTGTTTAATTTAAATATAATTCAGATACCACAAAATTTACCTTTCATTGTACAAGTTAGTGGGGTTTTAGTTTTAGTTTTTAAGGAATAAATACAGGATTATGTAACCATCACCACTCTCCAATGGAGAATATTTTTCATTATCCTAAAAGAAACCTTGTACTCATTATTAGTCAATTCTTATTTTTTCTCAACCCCCTTACCTTCTTTCCCTTGGCAACCACTGATCTATATTCTGTGTCTATGGATTTGCATATTCTGGATGTTTCATATAAATGGGATCATAGTAACATATTGCCTTTTGTGACTTGCTTCATACACATAGCATAATGTTTTGAGGGTTTATCTATGTTGCAGATATGTTAGTACTGAATTATTTTTCTTGGCTGAATAGATATAGCACATCTTGTTGTAAATGGATATACCACATTTTGTTTCTCCATTCATCAGTTGATGTCCATTTAAGTATTATCTATATTTTAACTATTATGAATAATGCTTCTCTGACCATTTTGGTACAAGTTTTTGTGTGTATGTAATTTTGAAGTTCTTGGCATTATATACCTAGGAGTAGAATTGCTAGGTCATAAGGCAACTAATAATTATTTGAGTAAAGGACAAAACTATTTTTCAAAGTAATGGCACCATTCCATTTCCACCATTAACAAATGAACAAATGAAAGTTCTAATTCAACCATCTTCTTACTGATGCTTGTTTTTGTCTGTTGTTTTTTTGTTTTTATTTTTGTTTTTAGTAATAGCCACTCTATTGGGTGTCAGGCGGTGTCTCATTGTGGTTTTGAGTTGCATTCCAAATTGCTAATGATATTGAACATCTTAAGTTGATTGGCCATTTGTTTACCTTCTTTAGAGAAATGCCTGCTCACATCTTACCTTTGGTAAAAGTGGGTAGTCTTTTTTTTTTTTTTTT